TTGTGACGGTGGACACTTTCCACCCAGGACTCTGCCATGAGGATATTGAAAATACAACTGTGACCATGATCGCGTTCCTGTCAGGCCCACTTCCCCTGGCAGTTGACCCAAGAAAGGAACAGGATGACGATAATGATGATGATGATGATGATGATGATGATAATTGTGGTGATGGTGGCGATGGTGGTGGTGATGATGATGGTGATGGTGGTGGTGATGGTGGTGATGGTGGTGATGGTGGTGATGGTGGTGATGCTGGTGATGCTGGTGATGGTGGTGACGCTGGTGATGGTGATGATGAAGATGATGATGATAAAGGTGGCGATGGTGATGATGATGGTGATAGTGGTGATGGGGGTGGCCATGGTGGTGATGGTGGTGATGGCGGTGATGATAGTGATGATGGTGATGGTGATGATTATGGTGATGATGGTGGTGATGATGATGGTGGTGATGGTGGTGGTGATGGTGGTGGTGATGGTGGTGATGGTGGTGATGGTGGTGATGATGGAGATGGTAGTGGTGGTGATGAGGATGATGATCACGATGATGATGATGATGATGTTGATGATGATGATGATGACGATGAGGGTGATGATGACGGTGGCGATGATGATGATGATGATGACGGTGATGATGATGATGATTATGATGATGATGATGAGGATGATGATGATGAGGATGATGATGATGATGATGATGATGAGGATGATGATGATGAGGAGGGAGATGATGATGATGACGATGATGATGACGGTGATGACGATGAGGACGACGATGAGGATGACGATGACGATGATGATGATGATGACAACGACGGGGGCCGGCCGAACCGGGATCGCAAATGCTAACGCCCCCCACCCCAAGAACTAGCGCGAGGTGCCGCGATAGCGCCACCAATCCTCCTACGCTTGAGCTTCTGGTCTGGTGTATGATCCATGTTTGACGTTAAGATTTGAATTTGCGAGGAGACAGTATGTGCATATCGGCAGAAGCCTGAATTCTGCATTCTTGCGACCCTTCACGCAGATACTCCGAGAGATGATTTTTCCAACAATGAAAGTCCTTTCTGTCAAGGTAGCCGTCACTGTAGTCTCAGATCAAAGCTCCAGCAAGACGTATGAATGACAGTGAGCCTTGACTGATTCCTATTCCTAAGTAACAATATCTCTAAGACTAACCCTGCCATTAGACCTTACATTGGCCCCAATGTTGACAGTAGTCTTCTATTTCATGTTCACCCAAAAGAGAGTCGTTGTAGATTCACGTCATAATTCATATGGATTATTAGGCTACGTCGACTGAACCCCATTATACATACCCTTTTTAGCTCCCATATCGACCTGAAGGTTAGTATAATAGCATATATCTGCCTGGTTGGCCCCCCGATAGTAAGGATATTGCAGTCCCATTGGCAAGAATGATATTGGATATGACTCCAAGATGGACCTTACCCGCAAACTAAATATTACACATAAGCTGTTCGCAGTGGTAACCTTCGTACTGTACCGGATACTTCCTTTTCCTGCTCAAAACCATCTTTTTCCTAGGAAAAATTTGGCTTTTCAGCCCCAAACCAACTTCTTTCTCGGGAATAAATTCTTTGTTCGGCCCAAAACCATCTTTTTCCAAGGGATCAATTGATTATTTTAACCCAAAACCATCTTTTTCCTAGGAAAAAATTGTTTTTTGCACTGAAAACCAGATTTTCGTAGGCAAAACACAAAAACAACCTTTTTGTTTGGAGTCTGGTTGCGTTTTTATCCTAGGGAACAATTGTGCTTTTTGCCCAAAGCCTTCTTTTTCGCGAGAAAACTTTGGTTTTTGCACCGAAAACCAAATTTTTCCTAAGCAAAACCAAAAACCAATCTTTTGGGAGTCTGGCCGTATAGTTTCCCAAAAGATGCATGTTCTGTTTTTTTGTTTTCCCTGGGAGAAAGTTGGTTTTTGATTGGAAGAATACAGTGTTGCCGTTAAGTGCATGCTTGCGTCGAACCTAAACGAGGTGCTTGGCGGTTGGTTTTTGATTGGTGCCCACGTCGAACCAGAACGAGTTGCCTGGCACGTTCTGTTGACATGTGAGTTTGGTTTTGGCAGTCTTTCAGAGATAAGGAATCCGGACCTGCCGGAAAAGGTGATCTAACACGGTATTTACGATGCAAGACGATGGTCGCTAGTTCAGAGGGGTTTACCATATATATATATATATATCTCTCTCTCTCTCTCTCTGTCTCTGTAGACGCATATGATGGCGTGTATGTATGTATGTATGCATGCATGCATGGATGGATGGTTGGATGTAGGTATGTATGTAGGTATGAATGTCTGTCTGTCTGTCCGTCCGTCTGTCTGTCTCTCCATGCGTTCAAGATGATGATGATGCTGGCGCCAATTGCTTCGTCTGATGGTGCTGGCAAAACCTACATCCTCTGCAACTTTTTCCAGAACCGGGTCAACAAATCTGTTACCACGCGTGGGTAAACAGTGAAAACCACAAAAACATCATAGTTTCGAAGATTGTAAAAAACTATTGAAGTTAGCGTTCTTATCGTGAAGTGTGCTTTCCCACACATTTAAACTGGTTGCCTCGAAACGCCTGTTCACAACTAAACCCCTTAACCCTAAACCCCTTACTTAGATCCCTGTCAACATCCCTTTAAGGAACCCTTGAAGGAACCCGAAAAGGAATCCCAAAACCCTAAACCCCAAGAGGGGGAACTGGTGCCTCGTCGCTCGTGGCGGGGCCTTTGCGCGGAGGCGGTAAGTCTCCTTGTATGGTTTGGGGTATCAGAGTTATAGCATTTAGGGGATCTATATGCTCTCCATAAGGGGCTATAAGGCTTCGGGATTCGGGTCAGGGACTCGGGATTTGCGTTCAGGGCTTGGGGTTCGGGGTTTGTTTGTGGGGGTTCAAGCGATAGGATTCTAAGGTTTGGTGTGTAAGTAGGCTTCCTGTACTCACCCCGTAGCTAGGTTCTCTACCAAAAACCTGGACCTGAAAGAATGATTTGCGGGCCTCAACAATTACCAAAACGTTTCTGGGGGCTCATTATTACAACTATAGTAGAACTTACCCCTAAAACCCCATTCTAATTTTTCAGGCCCCTATATTATTCTGGATCCCTCGACACTTGAGGGGGCATTCCCTATCTGCGGACTAGGTGGGGGGCTCTTTCAGACCGCCTGAGTCTTGGAAATCCTGACATCCTTCAGGGTTTAGCGTTTTGGGTTTAGGGGTTTAGGGTTTAGGGTTTAGGGTTTAGGGTTTAGGGTTTAGGGTTTAGGGTTTAGGGTTTAGGATCACCATCTTTCCTGTAGGGGTCGGAATAGCTGGCATTGTTCCTTACGGCTCCTTCTTGCAAGTCTAGGAAGCCCCGGGTCTTCTCCAGGAAGCCGTTGACAGACAAGCCTTGAAACCAACTCGAAGCTGTCGCGTGGAGGTCCGAACACGTAGTAGAATCCATCCCTAAACCCTAAACCCTAAACCCTAAACCCTAAACCCTAAACCCTAAACCCTAAACCCTAAAGCCTAAACCCTAAACCCTAAACCCTCAACCCGTCAGGTTTCGGGAGGCTCCAGGTTGTTACTTTCGGATCCTGCTCAACCCGCAAACTGTACACCACGCCGCAAACCTCAAAATTTGCACCTGCGACCCAAAACTTCTTGGTCTAGCCTAGCCCATCATGGGAAACAGCCCCTAAACCCTAAACCCTAAACCCTAAACCCTAAACCCTAAACCCTACTAGAAACTGCTGAGAACTTCGTGGCCGAAAGCTTCTGAAACGTGAGGCCCATAGCACGGAACTTCGACTGCGGGTTTCTCGGCCGACCAAAGCCCCGCGGTCTATAGAACCCTTAAAGGAATATCCCTGAACCTATATACAACCTAAACTCTGTATGACCCATACAAACCCTAAACCCTACATAAGACCCTTACATAACCCTAAATCCGACAAAAATCCTTATAAGCTCTGGGCCCTATATGCCCTAGACAAAGCCTTATAAAACCTCCGCCAGTCCTTGGGGAGCACGGCGCCAAGGCGGCAGAGGGGGTGCCTGTACTGCCGCAAACGGAGAGACAGTATTGCACAGGGCTTTACTTTAGGAATTCAGGGTTAAGGATTTAGGGTTT